TGCATCGTTCAGTCGACACTACTACCCTTATGGGCTTCGCAGCATGAGTGCACGCATATCATGCATTGTCGATCAGAATGTACTATGGTGTTCCTACACAACCTGGCCGTACGGTGCCCCACCATCAAGCTTAAAGTATCCCGGCTGCAAGTCTTGGAACACCCCACTCGGATCGTATTTTTTCGAGACCTTATTCAGCCTCGCCACATTATCCGCGCCGTAGCCCGAGATGACAGGCTGGTAGGGACTACTATAAGGCATGTACATGTAGTCATTATACGCACCCAGCTCCTTCGCCATGGCAACTGATGCGCTCAGGAAGTCTTGCGCCGCTTTCAAGACCACCTTGTCATCCTTTTCGTCTGTCCAAGACAGGTAGAAGAGGGCGTGGAATAGAGGACCGTCTTCTGGCCGAAGACCCAGCGCATTGCCGCCCTTTTTCTGCATGGCTGCAATGGCGGGTTTGCTGAAGGCTTGAAACGTGACACTGGGCGAACCAACGGGGATACCCGGCGCGATCTCGAAAAGATGATCTGTCATAAGTTTCATCAACTCTGTGTTTAACTTGAAGGACTGGGACCACATAGTCGTGCGGAAGCCGTCTGGCATGCTTTGGCTGAGACCAGGGGTTGTGTCGGCCAGACTGCAATTACGGGTGTTGTCGGTGAGTGGAGGCAATGCGAGGTATTCCTTCAGTATAGCGGGTGGGTTCGCTGGGTCGACCGGCTCGAAATACTCGTACTCAGTCGATGCAATCTTGACGCCACGAGAGTAAGCGACGGCAACAAAGTGGGCGGCCTTGGTATCGGTCTCAGCTGCCTCAACTGTGTTTCCAAACGCGTCGAACAGGGCAGGCGCGTAAGTTGCGTTGTACTGGCGTTTGCTCGCAAACATAAGACCTTGAGGTAGGGTTTCGTAGTTGAACGCCGTGATCACGCCGAAGTTGTTGCCGCCGCCGCGAAGGGCCCAATAGAGGTCTGGGAGAGTCTTTTGGCTCACAGTAAGGATGATACCCGAAGCGGTGACGAGCTCATATGAGGCAATGTTGTCACAAGCTAAGCCGTACTCGTTGGTGTGGTGACTGATACCTCCGCCGAGCGTGAGTCCGCCGACTCCGACATATGCCGCCTATTTGGCATCAGTAACGAACTCAAGGTATTGAATTTCATCATTCGACTTACTCGTCCACCAACAATGGCAAGATTGTAGGGCGTCAGGTAGTCGTATACCTCCTTCCATCGGTTCCCAGGGCCGACGGTAAAAGTCTTCTTGTCCGTAGAGAGTTTCTTTTGGTTCAGGTTGACCATATCGACAGTGATGCCACCTTCGATGCTAGATGCGCCGGGAAAGGCCGCATGGCCTCCGCTCTTGACTGCGAAGGGACATGTTGTGAGACGTGCGATCAGTACTAGGCTCGAGACATCCAGGGCGGTACTAGGCTTGAATGTGCAGTGGGGTTCGACTTCGAGCTGCTGTATAGACCAGTATGTTGTTGGCGCAGCGCTGGATACCTTGGCCGCTCCAAAAACGAGCTTGAGGGAGTTGCACTTTCCGAAGCTAATTAGCGGAAGATGGGTAAGATTGGGTAAATGAAACCTACGGCAATGGAGCAGCCCTTCAAGGAGGATCTGGCCGCCAGACCAGCCAAGGCGGAGATGGTAGACACGTTGATGCCGTTGTCAATAAGAGCCTCCGTCACATTGAAGTCAGCCGGCTCGAAGACATCCTGAGTTGATGCTCCAGCTGCCACCGCAAGAGCGCAAACGCATAGTTGATGGAAAAGCTTCATGACCGCTGAAGTAAATAGCCGCGCACCCAAGGGATTAAGATCGGAACTTCTGCGGCCTATATGTGAAAGGACAGGCCATCGATCGCAGGAGACAAGCCTTTTGTAGTCGTATCCAAACCCGCGGAGCCCCCAGGGCGAGTAATGAGACGGCTCTTACGGGTCTAGAAACGCCGTTGCGCGTTTTCTATGCGATGTACAGCGCGTGTTAGTGAGATCATATAAATTGTCCAATCGCGAGGTTTCAGATCGTTACTTCTGCAGGTGACGGGCGGCAGGCCGCGAACCGAGATGCCCACAGTATGCAAGTCGCACATATTGCCTCGCGGAAGTAAGGAGCAAGCACAGTCCCTGCAGGATCCTGTACCTAGATGGTGCGACTTGTATGCCTGGCTAACTTTGAAGGGATTGCACTTTTGATCTTGGGCACTGAGCCCCTCTTCTTCGAGAGATGTCTTGTCGAGCGCTTGGAACGATACGCATCTAAAGTGCATCTCTTCCGCCCATTGTCGGATCCAAGACAGTTAGTTGACGCATTCTGTAAGGGAGGCAAGCAATCGAACTGCAAATGTTGATGCAAAGAGAGATGGAAATCGGGTTGGGACGGCTCGGTTCCGTGCTCCGCCACTAGCGCGGCTTGGCGTTGCGGCACGGTCTGCGGGTGAACCTACCTATCGGTCCTCCAGGAATCCTTCAATCCATCGTCCATCACCACAAGTTTCTTGTCCGTACTCTGGATTCGATCCTTTCGCTACACTCGCATCATATGGTTACAACTAGCGTATATCAGGCAGGTGCAGCTTCCAGCTCTTGTCCCGGGCGGTAAGCTCGTGGCAAGCCTCATTAGCTATTCGATAGCCCCGGCCCTGTCAACGCCGACAAGTTACCCCCTGACATCTAGAGTTAGGTCAGGGCAGGGAGATAGGCTTCCAGACGTCCACCGATGAATGCATGCCCTCTAACTGTCGCTTATAAATTCAGAAAATGAATAAGCAATGTGTGCGACACGCCGCCCAGAGAGCATTTCAGGACGAACAGTTCGCATCAAGCTTTTGCTACGCTAAGAGCATGGATCCACCAAACATGGCGCGGCGACACGCACTGAAAGTTCGGTCAGCTGTGCCTCTTCCTTCCTGCTATTGCAATCAAAGTTGCCGCGACATGAGGCTGCAATCCATGCACCAGGATTCTGGTACGTTGAGATCCACTGTACCGCTGGCGCGGTCAAGCAGGATGTCGGACGACTCTTATACCTGATGCTGGATGCACTGTTTGTAGCAACAGACCCCATTGTCTACCCTGGGCGTCCCTTCCTCGCCAGTACGTTGCCCATCCAGTTGGCACTACCCTTTCATTCTTTAGATTTACTGTCATGACTCTCTCTACTCACGAATCCAACGGCGGAGGCTCGAGCGCATCGTTTCCACAGAGAACGGTACGGGTAGTCGGCTATACAACCATCTCCATAGTGTCAGTGGCTATCATAGCCCGATGCTTGCTACAGTATCTGCGACCGAGGAGAATAGTTGCACAAGACTGCTGCATGGCCTTTGCCTACCTGCTTTTCCTTGCGCAATGTATACTCTACATTGTCCTGTCACCTATACGGGTCAAGGTGCAGGAGGTAACGGAAGGCAAGATACCACCCTACCCCGAGCTACCTTATCATATCTATCTCATTGGCAGACTCATTTTTCCTGCCTTGACGTTCTTCTGGGCCATTTTATGGACCGTCAAGCTTGGGCTGCTTTTTCTCTACAGGAAATTGACTGTTGGGCTACCCAGAGTGTACATTCGGATGTGGTGGTTTCTTGTCATTCTCTGGGCTGTCGTGAGTTCCCCTCAATATTCTGACAAGGTGACCACTGTGTGCTGACAGGACAAACAGTCGCTCGTTGGAAACTATGTAGCTTTCCTCACAACCTGCGTATCACTGGACAGCGTTTTCGATGGGTCTAGAGGTTGCAACAACAAAGTCAGGCAGTTCGTCAGCATCTGGTACTCATTCGGTGCGGATACGATCACCAATATTATGCGTAAGCACCCTCCACATCAAGTCGCCCGCCTCGAAATCGCTACTGACCATCCCTAGTCATCGCATTTCCTTTGCATCTCACGTGGAACCTTCAGATGCCGCGCACGCAGAAAACTGCCATCATGGTCTTATTTGCCAGTGGAGTCTTTTGCATCTTGATCGCCACTCTACGTGCTGCCAATATCACTGCACAGACTATCAGGACTGGCAAGACGATGGATGGTACATGGCTTGCAGTATGGAGTATGGCCGAGACAGCTGTTGGTAAGTCTCCCATAGGTCTTTAAGCTTGATCCGCTCCGTTAGTTTAGTCGCTCAATACTGACACATGTAAGCCGTTTTGATCGGGCTTTGCCCCTCCTTTGCCGTCCTCATCAACGCGAACCGCAGAACGACTCACGAAGTCCGTGGATGGAGCTCCAATCTGCGCACCATGGGCAGTGCTTCAACACGTCCCAAACCCAAGGCACCGACTGAGTTGGATACGTTTTGGACAAACATACACGGCAGTGAGGAAGAGCTAGCAGGGAAACAAGATAGTGCCTCTCTCACTACGACAGTCGACCAAAGTGAAGAGGGCCTAGGCATGGCTAGATGAGTGCGTAAAATGGCATGAGAATGATGAAAATGTGAGACAGTAGTAACTGGTGCAAGTGCAGGGTATCACGCCGACTTGTCATGGTCCATGGAGTATACAACGTGTCGAACTCGCGTGAAGGTACATGTAACAACTATGCATGACATTTACGTCATGTTTCATACACTACTGCCGCACTACATTTTTGTATGTGTAATCATCTGAGACCAGGTTCTCTTCATCGATCGTTGCGACACAGCTCTACGTCTCTTTCACGACATCGGAGAAAGAAGCCAGTCTGACGCTAGTGAGCCACATTCACTTCGTTTCTGAGGCCCACACTTAGCTTGTTTGGTATATCACGGGTTCTAGCGCAGTCCGCGAACTGCAAGTGACGCCGACTTCTCTACAATAGCCAAATTCTCTTCGTTCGCGTTCGCGATACAACCTAACGTGCTCTGGTTTCAACCACCCCTTCCATAACCTCTCCAAGCACCTCTCTAAGAACTTGCGGCTGTTCTTCCAGCGCACCTACATCTTCAGGCTAACACATCCCAGGGCTTTACCTCACATAACCGAGAGACTTTCGGTCAGCCGAAAAGATGAGCGCCAATCAGGACTACATATCGCCGAACGAGCACCTCCAGCGGTCCCTCCAAAACACATCCGCATTCGAAGTCTTGGGCCACTTCTGCGGTATACCCGCTGTCGGCTCCCCCCAACGACTCAATGAGGCCGCCGTCGTCTGCATCGACGCAGAGTGGTGGCAAAAAGAGCCGAAACCCACCACCGAGCTCGGAATTGCAGAACTAATGCAGAAGGGACTGACCCCAACAATACACGCCGAAAACATCCTCTCTAGCATTCAAGTCGCCCACGCCCGCATCATCGAGAACGCGCACCTCACCAACAGATTCCCCGGTGCTGGTGACCCCGAGAACTTCCTTTTCGGCAAGACCAAGTTCGTCACTATGGACGAGGTGAAACAGGTACTCATCAACACGTTTGTGCGACCGCGGGAATACGGAGATGGGTCGGAACTGCAGCCTATCATTCTCGTCGGCCACGCTGTGGAGAACGAATTCGAGCATATGCAACGCGCATTCGGAGTTGACCTGCTGAGCTACGGTACTATCGTCAAGGTCATCGACACGCAGCTCATGGCGCAAGAGCTGGGTATCAAGGCACCACGAGGACCGTTCATCGGCCTGAAGGACCTTCTCGCACACTTCAACATGGTTGTACCCAACCTCCACACCGCTGGAAACGACGCAGCAGCTACACTCATGGCCGCCGTCTTACTCACCCTCAAGCCCTGGATGTACCCCGACGTCCCCGGCTCGCCACCCGCCATCGTCCAGGGCCGTAGTATGTCAGATGTGGTGGCTGGAGTCATGGAAATAGGACAGTCGTTGTCGCCGCCTCCGTGGGGTGAGCTTGTGTACTGCGTTCGTTGCGATCACAAGAGTCATCTCGCCAAATCCTGCTACACTGCTCTGACCTGTCAGATTTGCAGCAATTCGGGCGTCAAGAGGCTGTTTGGTGCGCGAAACACACATAAGACTACGAGGTGTATGTACCAGTACTTACCGATACCGCCAAGGGATTATGGATTTGGAGGGCAGTAGATTGAAGGGAACAGAGGCGAGAGATGAGACCAAGGAAACGTTTGAAAGGACTACCGGTAGAACACCCAGGTAGCTACGCAGCTACGAATGAAACCATCACACTGGCGTACAAGTCAGACCCCACCCTAGCCTAAACTGACCGTGGGCTACCTACTTTGCATGTGTTCATCTTGATGTAGGCTGTAGACCTGTTCAGTTCTTCCTTGGTGCCACATAGCTGCTCGTATATCAGCCCGCCCCATCTTCTCAACGGGGCCCAAACGCACACAACCCCTCCATATGCGTCCCCGCATTCTTCCTCCTCCACTCCTGAACTGCACATTCACACCTCCTACACTTCAGATCCGCATTGTGACACTCCATAAACCCATGCTCACCACTCCCACATCTCCAGCAAAAGACTTCTACACCAACAGGCGGCGCCGGCGTGGGCCAATTCATCAAGCTCTGCACCACGAACATCGCAGACTTGGAACTTGACTGGCCCACCCGCCCTGGCTTTGCCTTCGCATTCTGTAGAGACCCATAGAGCTCGAAACGGAGGGTTGAGAGGATAGCGACGATAGTGGCGTACATGGCTGCGTTGCCGCTGTTATCGGAGTGGTATACCGGGATGTTGAACTGTCTGAGGAGGTATGCGAAGTCTGCGTCTGCGTGGCGCGTGATTTTAGACTGTTGGGGTATGATCTGCGCATCGAGGCTCGCTACCGTGGTATCCAGAAGAGACGGGTCGAAGTCGAACGCCACCTTGCGGGCCTTGCTGATGCTGCTGTTGGAGCCAAAGGACATGTATATAATGGGTCGGTAGCCTGCATCCTCATTCTGCTCGTCCATGGGCTGGTGCCAGATCTGATGGAGCAGGAAAAGAGCTTCTTCTTGTGTTACGTAGACCGTGGTGCCGAAATGGAAAGGGTCGAGACCGGTGGCTGTAGAGTCGAGGTGCGCAGTGGAGCGGATGACAAGGTGTAGACACCATACTTGGCGTAGCAGGTCTTCTGCGTGCGGGCCAGCCATGACAGGCTGCCCTTGATTGATGCTAGATCGGTCGTAGGTGGTGATTCCTAGCTCGGTGAGGCGATACGGTGGGTGAGCTGACCACTTGCGGTGGAGGACGACGAGGACAGCGTGGTGAAGTAGGTTTGGAGCAGTTGTCGACGTTCCGAGATATTTGTGCAGGACGTCTTTGTCTGGAAGCTGGGCCAAGACGCCGCGGAGGGTTGTTAGCTTTGCTGACGTGGATTTTGACATGGCTTTGGAGCTGCGCGATGTCCATGGGTAGCAGCAAATGAGGGTTAGGAGATTTGTGTAGGTGAAGCTGTCGTCCGTTGGACGCGGCGCTCTGGGACGAGTCTAGTGCCATTAAATTTGAAGGTGAAGGTGAAAGTAGATGTGAAGATGAGAATGAGATTGACTTAGAATCTGGTTTTCGCGGTCTGCTGCTGCCCAGCGCAGCACATCTTTCTCGTTGCATTCGATTGAAGTCATGGCCTCGTGTAGCCATTACCAGCGTATTTGATCCAAGCGTGAGTATTTTTGACTTTTTCTCATGCCGAAGGAAAGTGTATGGCATCTCGTTGCAAAATGATCGCGTACGCCATGATAGATTATGGCTTTATTCACTCTTGACTTCATCGTCGACACGTTTTGGTGACTCACAGGGAGCTGTGACAGCTGATTGCAATTTTCGGCTGACGAAAGCTCATCGACCTGCACGGGATTCTACCGCTATGATGGGTGTGCCCGAAAAGACGACCTTGTGCTCTCCCTTGCAGAGAAATGAGGAGAGAGGTGAGGGGATTTCCCGAGGTCGGCCAGACGTTAGCGCAGCCGCTAATCCGTGAAGGGCCTAGCTCCAGACACCCTTGTAATCCCAGCGCATCCCCGCCATAGCTCCGCGAACCCTCAAAATCTGATCTCTCCAGCCTTATCATTGTCCATCGTCGACATAGCCCGCCCACCAAACTTCTATTATGTCGTCAGCGCCACCCAGAACCATAATTGATCTTCCGATTGAACTCATCGAGCTGATCGGAATGAATCTCATTGAGTATGCTCCATACAACGATTCCGTCGCACCAGTCATACCGCGATTACTCGTGGGGAGTTGCCAGGCAGTGTACAACACCCGTCTAGCATGTCGGGGTCTCAATAACGCTTTGAAAAAAGCGTTCCTAGAGGTCCTACATGATGTACCCTTCCAATGCACTGAGGAGCATCTGGGCCGTTTGACGCGATTGTTGCAGCTTCCCTGGGTGTCGCAGTCGTTCAAACAGCTCACTATCGGCGGTGCCAAGATAGCCAAAACACCCATACAACGATCCCGGGCGGTCTGGATACAGGACCATCTGGCGGACGCTTTCAAGACAATTCTCAGCATTGCGCCTCGTTTGGAAAGCATTAGATGTGTCCCAATCTTTGAGTCTTTTAAGCCAAACGATCCCCGTGACTCTTATGACAAAGACGTCGCCAATGAAACTATTCCAGAACGAAGGCAGGGTCCCTTCCGCTCTATAGACATCTTTGGAGTACGTCAAATCACCCATCGTTTCCACAGATAGTCTCAAAATAGAGGCTAACACGTGAACGTAGAAACTTTACACATCAATACACGAAAGCGGACACGCGGAAGCTCTTAGGTCGCTTTTGTTAGGATTCGACTACAGGGGAACACACAGAGTCTCAGCGCCGTATGAGATATCGTACCGCGGTCGAATAAAACTCTCCCCGTTCCTTGCGAAGCCACTACCCCATCTACAACACCTCGTCCTCGACTTGGGATGTCTACGATACAGCGCTGGCATTTCCAGTTCGACCCGTATGCCAGTCCTCGAGTCGTTGACGATCGTATACACAACGTTCCACAATAAGAGCGAACGGAATGTCGGGCCGTGGCCGGAGGGAAACCTGGACCTTCTGGCAAAGACTCAACCTCGACGGCTCGTGCTCACCAGCTATAGGTACATCACTCGAGAGGTACACGAGCCTCGAGAGAAGATTCTTGCTATTGTTCGTGCATTCAGCCACAGGCAAGGGCCACTACCGTGCTTAGAATTGCGTGACATGGATGTCGAATTGGATTACCATCGGGACGAACGGCCGATGCCAGCAGATACTTGGAAGTTCCCGGGGGACTTTCGCATCGCAGAGTTGAAGATTGCAAACGTGACGTGGTACCGACATGTGATCCATCGTGGCAGGTCAGAGCGCCGTGGCTGGTGCGAGACGGGTTGGGAACTGTTTCCTCAAATTTGTGACGCGTCAGATGTCGTACGTGTACGCGTGTGTGACGGGTCGGAGCCCATTGAAGAATGCTTTCTCGAAAGACCATATGAAGATTTGCATATTGATGGCAATAGCACGGATCATGATACCGAGACAGATCGCAGCACCACCGAAGACGGATTCGATGATTCAGACCGGTCCACAGACGAAGATGAAGACGATGACGAGGACGAAGATGAAGACGAAGATGACGACCATGACAATGACGCAATGGACGAGGCATAGGCTATGATGGTTATGCATAGCCACTGCTTTCGATTTGATACAAGGGGTCCATTTGCATAGTGTTGGCGCAGCTTTACGTTCGGTGACAGCTTCAACCTCCGCCAGGCTTCTTCAGCGCTCCACCAAGAATACTCGGGTCAAGCATCTTGGCTTCAGGGACGTCGACACCACAACGCACCCACATGCTGCTCCAAAGCGCACCGACTGCTCTTTCTTCGGGCATGAAAACGACTGTATTCACGTACGATCGTGTCGTGTTATAGCAGTCTGGCATGTTGAATAGTTGTGCCTCGCAGTTGTCGCCTTTGTTCGAATAGAACACGCCGCATCGCGCTTCGCTTGGGAGAGTGATACATGTACCGTTTTTCCATGTTTCGAGGGGCGGCGGGAAATATGTCTTCTGCAGGAGTTCGCCGCGGCAGTGCTTAGGGCCGCCTGCACCGGAGTATGTGAGGGCGAGAATCGGTATCTGTGGAGTGGTCGGCGGTCGAGGCTTAGGCGCGACGGACGGTTTTGGCGTAGCAATAGGCCCCAAGACACCTTCAGCGCTCCAACTCGCACTCGTTTGTGGTTCCGGTGTGAAGCCAATCATTCCGTCCTGGGTTTCGGTCATCGTGGTGGGTACGAGCGTCGCGCCAGACACGATGCTGCTGCCGTTGTACACATCGCCGCGGTCGAAGTCTGTGCCGTTCAACAGCGCCTTCGCCGCGACGATATCATCGCCATCTCCGACTCTTGCAGCTTGCGCGAGGTTGATTTGTATGACTGGTGTGGTTGGTGCGCGTACTTCGATGGCGGTCGCTAGCGAGATTGCGATGAAGAGGAGGAGGGAGACGGACGATGCGATGAGGATGATGCGCCGCGGTATGGACGACATCGCGGTGGTATTACATTACTTTTGGAGATTTGGGAGGTTGAAGGGGTATGCGACAATGTCGAGGTTCGTGGGCGACGCCAAGGAAGCGTCGGGGGTTGCTACACTACGCGTTTCATCCCCACGTCTTCCCCAGACATCGTCGCAGGCATGCAGGCAACTTTTCCACACTTCCCTGACAGCTGTATACACGTTCTTTACTTCATTCGGACATATGATCGTGCGCGAGTGTACAATCTCGATAGAGCAGCGGTTTAGACCGACATCTGTAGTTCAGTCACAATCCATCCCCTGACCCTTATACAGCTCGGTACCAGCCTTTGTGGGCTATTGCTTGGATTACACACCTTGTTTACATATAGGCTTTCCATTGTCGTGTAGCGAAAGCTGCACTAACGATTCGATATTGTGGTTTTAATGAATAGGGTAACGGCCGTCTTCCACTCCACGAAAAAGCGAGAGATTCACTGGAATGACAGCCATTGGTCCAAGCTCATGACAATTCTTCTAGGTATTGACGTGTAAACACAGATCACTGAGTACCAATCTTCCGATCACTCGCTGTTGCCTAAGCACTGGTCTGTCCCCTGCGCGATTTATGTCTCGGTTATCTCCCGTCAACCGTACTTAGCCACCCTCATCCCAGAGACCCGTCTACCTTAGACCATTACCCTCAATATCGACGATTCACCTACGCCAAATTCATCTATCTCTCGATGAAAGAAGGCGCGGACGAGACCCCGTCCTCGATTCCGGACATGGCTGCCGAGCTCTTGGACGCAAACCGACGAGCGCTAGCGTTAGCCCTTAAGAAGACTGACGCCAACAATTCGAACACATCTACCGCTCGACTTGAGATGATGAAGGCCGAGTCTAGATATCATTCGCTGAAGCGTCGCCAAAAGGCACTGCATCGTGAAGAGGCTACTGCTGCTCGAGAATACGGCCAATCTTGGTGCCAAAGCTTCTCTCAAAGCCTCCTTGATAAGCTCTCTCGCGAGTTGCGAGATATGATCTACGGTCACCTTCTCCCTCATTCAGCAGAAGTATCACTCCTGGGACAGGATTGGCGCGTTTCCTTCTGCCCTAGTCAGACGTTCGGCTCTTGGAACGACAGCGAACTCGATCCCATCCCTCATTATCTAACGAGTGAATTTATGGGCACTTCCTTCCAGAAAGAGATCATGGAGGAACTCCACAGACACGCACAATTCCGTATCTACCACTCAAACGATGTGGAAGAGTTTCTGGAAGATGGCCTGCCGCTAGCATCACTTCCGGTCCGGACTTTTGACTTCGTTCGCTCACTCACTGTTCTGCTATCCTTCCAAGCCCATCAGGACGTCGACAAACTCAGGTGGCGCAGAACGGGACAGTACGATCTTAGGGGCAACTCTGGAGGAGATCGTCAGAACTTGGAAGCTGTCGCTACCAACCATACCTTCGAGAAAAATGTCAAAGTGCTTGCTGTTATCGCCAAGATCAAGCAATTGAACAAGCTCGAACTGCATATCTTGATTCGCACCTGGACCCCTACAGGAGCGAGAGGCTTTGAGCGAGCTCTGGTTCCTTTTGTGCACGATCTGCAGGACCGCGGAGTGAAGGTTGACGGGGAAGTTCAGTCATATCGACGTGATTCCCGTCGTAACACTGAGATGTACACTGGCTGGAAATGTGACTTTACCCGTCCAGGGTCGCGCTAGAAAAGCCACCGACTCAAGACTTGTACTTTCGTAAGTTCCCAGCCTCATGGATATCCTGCAGATGCTTACCATCAGACATGACTGGATTTTTTATACGTTGAACCTGTCGATGAAGTCGAAGCTCGATGATCTCGTGAGGTCTCGTGTTCTCTAGAGTTTTTATTCCTATTGCTCCGGCTTCTCAGCACAACAATGTAGTCTTCACGCAGAAATATATCGTGAGACGGCTTAAGGAGTGTCGTCTTGCTATGCCACCATGTGGTGTATAAACGCGCTCGTGGATATATGCTCTCGTACAAGAGATGTTCTCACACATAGGACCACCGATAAAGGGCATCTTTGACACCTTAAACAAGAATTACTTCGATTGCTACAACATTTGTTCTGGTGCGTGATTCCCTTGCTGAAAACACTGCATCGTTCGGCGCCCATTCACGAAGTCGTTGTGAAACTGAAAGTGATATTTCGGCAAAGACTAAGACCATACAAGGATGCGAAGCCGTGCGCGAGCCTAGCACCATGTGGTACACGGTGATGCTACATTCCCCTAGTCTCGCTGACTCCTTCTAGGCTGCACCACACTGCACTTGTTTCTACGTGCAGGTGTAGCGCTCATACCTCTTGTCTTCTAGATCTAACATGCGCGCTTAGGGAAATAAGGTTTCTAGAGTAAGTTTGTCAGGGGGGCTTTCGAAAGGAGCGGCGATAGCAACTTCCACCTGGCCCGCTGACAGCAACATGCTCCGATCATAGGTAACTGTTTCCGTATCCGCCGGCTGGGGGTAAACGTTCCTGCCCCGCTTCTCGTACGAAACAACGACCTTGCAATCCTTTTCGACAAGCGTTTGGATATGCGGGAGCAGCACAGCTTTGTATCTGTAAAGCGCAATCTTCGTCCGCACACTGACATTAAGTGTGACGCTCATTCTGGAAACTTGTGCTGTTGCCGCGAGATCGCCAAGCCAACTCACCTGGCTCTCGAAGCGTTCCCTCTTTATATTAGCCTCTGCTGTCATGTGGCGAGCTATCACATAGTCCCGGGGACGTTGCGCAAGATCCACATAGTCCCGGTCAGGCGGGACCAAATGGTTGGGGATGGGGATGAATATGTCGACCGAGAGCGTTCGGAGGAAGTCGATGGGTCGGAAGGGCGCGTCCCTCAAGGGGCCAACACTAAGTAGGAAGGGAACGTCATCGATGTGCCAGACATTGTAGGAGGCGTACGTATTAAACTCTTCCGCGAGTTCGACCACAAACTCCTTTCCCATATACTTCTCCCTGAAATAGTGCTCAAATTTGTTGTCAAGGCCGCGAGCCTGGCCGCGACGGTCACTGTGGTCAACGTGGAGGTAGTATTTGTTCCCTTCGTTATCGGGCAGGTCTTTCTCGCGTTGAATGATGCTGACATCTGGAGCGCCACCCATGAGATGGAAGTAAACCATGTCTCGCACTTCGCGGGCAGAGAGACGTTCGAACATCTCAGCGGCGAACTGGCGGTTCAACGTGCAGGTGTAGTCATCAGTTGACTTGCCGAAGTTGCTTGAAGGCAATGTGACGTCAGTGATCAATCTGTGTTGTGCTGGAGTCTCACACTTACGTAGCCAAGCTACGCTTCTTGCGCTGAAGTGTGCTTCGCGTGCTTTGAAGTGCACGCAGCTTAGTCTCAAGCTCTTCGATCTCTTTGTCATTCACACTATTCCTACAATAGCTTCGTGAGCATCCAAAGAATGAGAATCAACGATTCACTTACATCTCTTGATTATCCCTTCGCTTCTGTATAATGCTGCGCAGTTGTAAGTTATTGGAATGCTGCTTGTGCGCACATCTACGCCGACTTACAATGAGATTGCCTTAGCCTTGGTCTTGAGTGGATTTCGAGGGGCCATCTTGGCGGTCTCGCGTTGATCGTGGTATGGCGGTAGCGATTGAAATGGAAGAGAAAGTTCGGGCGCTTGGAGTTGAGCTATATAAGACTGTCACGATGTGCAGTTGATAGGTGCTTAGTAGGTAACGTGATGGAGTCGCGAGCTAAGTAGGCACCACGATCTAGGCAAACACTGGGCTTGACGCACGTGCACTCGTCGTGAATGACCAGTTCGGTCTAGTCACAATTCCTATCGCAAAAGTTACTAGGCTGGAGAAGGAAATGCTAGCCCATCAATCTTCGGATTGCGTCGAGAAAATTACAACCCCAGATCTCTTCAAGCATCCCCACCCTCAGCCTTCTCCTTCGCCTTATCCAAATCCAACGGCACCCTAACCACAATCTTACCCCTCGCCCTCCCCGTCTTCAACTTCTCAAACGCCTTAGGCGCATCCTCCCATTCAAACACCTCATCAACCACAGCCTTGACCTTCCCCTCCTTCATCCACCCTCCAATCTGGCTCAGCGCATCCGACGACGGCTTCGCCATCAACAACTGATAGCTGTTCTTGCCGCCGCCCAGAAATCCCGGCAACAGCATATTGGAGCCCACATTCTTGATGCTAGCAACGCTCATCGCCGAGCCAATTTGCACGAACTTGCCGGCTGGAGTGAGGAAAGTGGAGGCGGCTTTGTAGAGGTTGGGTGGTGTGCCGATATTGTCGACGACGAGGGTGTAGGTCTGGCCTTTGGAGGAGAGAGTGTCGATAACATCGCTAGTTTTGTAGTCGATGACTTCGTCGGCGCCTAGGCTCTTGCAGAGATCGACGTTGGGCGTTGAGCAGGTGGTCGTCACGTGGCAACCCAGCGCTTTCGCGATTTGGATGCCGTACACACCGGTCCCGCCTGAGCCGCCGTTGATGAAGACTTTGTCGCCGCTCTTGACGTTTGGAGCGATGGCTTGGTATCTGGATATGGGGTTAGCATGGCTTTCAGCTGTGTTCTCGGGCTGCACGGCCTTACTCGGTCAGCCCCACGATGCCGACGCCTGCTGCGTCTTCGACCTTCACGCCTTCTGGTAATCTTGCCAGCATTTGTCTATCCACGGCTACGTATTGCGCCATGCTTCCTCCCGTCAGCGCACCAACCTTTGCGCCAAATACGAATTCGCCAATCTGGTACTCGTCGACTTTCTTGCCTACTTTGGCGACCTTGCCGCAAAAGTCGGCACCGGGGGTGATGTCGGAGCCGACAAGTCGCAGAGGCATTGGCCCTTCCGTGACTTTGTGGTCGACAGGATTGATCGCCATAGCGTGAACTTGGACCAGAATCTGCTCATCATGAAGCACTGGTTGTGGCGCGGCCTCATTGATCTGGAGGTTCTTCTCGATGCCGCCTTTGGTGCTGTTGTACTGCCAGGCCCTCATCGTGGACGCCATGTTGCTGTTTGATCGTAACGGAGCTTGTCGCGATAAATTTCCGATAGATTTGATGCCGTCGATGCGCGCTGTCCTTGTTATCTTATAGCGTGGAAACAGGCATGCGTCATGACGATTTGCGTTGAGCGGGGCAAGCAGCGCCACCACCGCCTGTCAGCACGAGCTTTGTGAGTAGACACCCATCTATCGGAGCTCCATTCAGGCGACCGGAGAGATCGCGCAGATTGAGCCTGGGTAGGACACCTACATTGTGGAATCCATTGAGGTGGGTATGCCTCCTTGCCCAATGGGTTGGCTTACTTGCGCTCGGTCGATCAAGGGGCATGCCCACATTATCACCTAGCCCGATCGGGCGCATTCTGCGCAGCGACAGCAGTCTCATCATGAGTTCTGGAAAGAGATCAATATCAAGATATGGGATATGAGCGAGATCATTGTTTGTGTCACGATGGATTTTTCAATTGATCGGTCCTGTACGTCGATGAGGAGCTGGAGGCCTAACAGCTGCAGCTCAGGCCGCCCTTTCGCCCTGCATGAAGCCTCTTACGCGTATGTAACAAACATCTGCTCAAAGCCAGTAACGTTCCACACACCGGTAATGGTGTTGAGCGTCAAGTTGGTTGGAGTGGTTGGTCCACGTTGAAGCGCCCCACTCTCGACATGACCGCCTGCAGCAACTACAGTTCCGTTCGTCCTTTCCAAATGATTGGCACCAGCCTTGACGGTGAAGTTTGCGAGGCTGATATCTAAGGGGTTGCGAGATGCGACAGATGGCGAGCCTAAATGTTGTCAGCACATACGTTTCTCGACATTGCGCAGGTGCAATGGGTATACTTACCATAGTACTGCGCATTGAGCTCCTCAGGAGAGATGAACAGCTCGTAGTACCCTCTGTAGTAGCCTTCAGTCCACTGAAGCTCCCGGTTGTCACGCACGAGCGCTGCGGACCGGTCACTCGAATTCGCAATAGACCTACCAGCGCCATAACCGCTGGATGAAACGGCCGTGCCAGCAAACTCGACGCCGATGGCACCAGCACCAGTCGCCTGGTCGTATGGGGTCTCGTCGAGCCAGACAAGATCAGACACCCAGTTGGCATGAGAATCGCCAGCCAAGAAGGCGGTGTTCGGAATTTCGTTGCTGTAAAGGTGATGAAGAGTGCGGTTGCGGTTGGCAGTGTATCCGTCCCACTGATCAGCATTCAGCTCGTTGCTGTACACTGCGCTGTTGTTCATCCGGGAGAAGATGATCTGATTACCGATAATCCTCCAGGTAGCACCTCGTTCATGCGACTCGGACAGCTGGTTGTAGAACCAGTGTTCCTGGCGACTACCCATGAGCGAGCGGCCAGCGTCATCCTTGAGATCCTCGATGTAGTCGTCATTCCAGTTCAGAGTCGTGATGGATCGATCGTAGTTGCGAGTGTCGAGCATGATCAGGTCGAAGAGTTTGCCCATCTTGAAGTTGCGCCAGATGCGGAGGTTGTCATCCATGTCGACCTGGCGAATGCTGCGGTCGTTATTAGCGAGATCAGGGACGATCAAAGCGAGATACGTACGGCATCCACTCGAAGTAGGCGCGAACAGCGTTCATCTTCCTGGAGTCAACGCTCACTCCTCCGAACTTCTTGAAGCTTTGTTCAGTGTTGTTCATGCCGCTAAAGCCATCGCGATAACCGTTGTTCGCGACCTCTGTCCATCCGTTAGTTGAGTATAGAGGTGCCATGCCAAGCAACATACCATGGTCATCCCATGTTGGAATCCAAGCAAAGTTCTGGTGAGCAAGGCGAAGGTCGTCATCAGTGCGATACTGGCCAATCCTCGTTCGGTAGTCTTCGAGACGGATCAGTAGCTGTCAGACCCAATGATCAGTTGCTTACGAACCGTAAAGTGTGACAATCTCCCGCGATGGGTTCGTGGCGCGCGGGTCTTGGCCGAGCTTGCCCTTGGTGGACTCATAGATGTAATCACCAAGATGAACCTTCATCTCCAGATTAGCAGAGTCAAAAATGCGCGTCATCATCATACTTACGAAGAAGTCAACTTGATCTTTCCTAGCAGCATTGCCGTAAGCGTTGAAGTAGCCATTCTGCCAGTTGGAACAGGAAAAGATAGCAAGACCAACTTTGGAAACATCGTCGTCTTCGTCGGGGCTGGTCTTGGTTCTGCCGAGTGGACTCTTGTTGGAGCTACCACAAACGTTGAACTGGTAATAGTACTGGGTGAATGGGGACAGGTTCTTTGCTTCAATCTTCTCAGAGTTAGCTTATCACCCGAAATACCCCTGGCTTAGATCTTACCTTGACGGTGAAGTCGATGTCGGAAGTGGTATATGCTTGGCCTTGATCGACGATGCTGGAGAAGTTGCCGTCCGTACCAACGCGGTAGTCCACGCAGATAGGGTTTGGTGAGGCCTTGATGTACTTCTCCGTCTCGTGGTTGTAGAAAGCTACATTGCCCGTAACTGTCACGTTCGATCCGTCGTTCTCGAGAGATGGCGCAATGCGTGTCCAGAGAATGACAGAGTCGGGATAAGGATCTCCAGAGGCGACGCCGTGCGTGAAGCTTAGCTGAGCCGGATCCCACGGAGTCGCCCGCTTGATGAGGCTTCTCTTCGCGACCTTCGGCACATCAATGCCAAGGCCTTCGTGTCGGCGAGAAGGCGAGTGGTAGTTCAGGTTGCCATCGAAAGATGCACACACGAGCGAGGCTAGAGGCGCCGCTGCAAGAAGGATCGAAAGCATTGCGAAGATCAAAGAAGCTTCGGTGACTCTCTTCTTAGTTTTCAAAGTCCCGAGACTTCAGAAAGCTTAAGTACTTCCATCGCACTTCGACGTGCCGTCCTTCGCGTACAATTTCATCGCCTTCGTACTACTCCGGCCGCCAACATTACCGCATCGTGCATTCAGTACAGTTCTGACAGCAGCTGTGGCCAATCGCATAGAGTGCATTGTAAGTGTGTAAAAGAGTGCCTGTTGATCGTCAACCGCGACATATGCACGATGCGCATGTGCCGGGAGGATGAGCTGAGATTGGCCGAGCGCGACTTCATCCCGCTGGACAGGCTAGCCCGTTGTGGGGATATGCAGCGCGTCGAACGTCGTTGATCCTGGCATGACCTACAGTGGGTGAGGAGTCAACGCGACGATGCGGAACTCTAAGGTGCAGTCTTTGGGGTGACAGAAGAAGAGGGTTACTTGGCTTTCCAGCTCCCAGTCCGCGGAAAGAGATGGCGCTAGTATTAGAAGGGTTTAGCGCCAACCGCGCCGCATGCTCCCTAACCATGGAGAACTCCATCGTCCATTCCTTCGACACCCACCCCGTCTAGCTTTCCGAAGAACTCCTGAGTCTCTCTCTCATTCCTGACCTACACTTTCTGTACGTACGAGTTGCAGTGCGGATCTGGCCTTTCTTTCGATGCCCAATTTTCCGCTTCTAAAGCGCTTGCTTGCTTCTCTATCTTGATTCAACCAATTATTGCATCATTTACACCCCGCCGTAAACGTTCCCGTGTTGTCCACGTTGCATTGTCGGAACTGCCATTCGCGCAAGAGCTATCACGGTATCGCTGATGTCGTTGTACCTATACCGACCACGGAATGTTTAAACACGGAACATTACTGCTGCGTGGGAAGCCCCCCGGCTTGCCTAGACCCTTCACGCTATGCAATGCGGTACCGCTTCATAAAAGTACCAGTCCCTGTCTTCTTCCTGGAGTTCGTATGAAGCACACCATCTTCTCCAGGGAGGTGTATCAGCCTTTACCCTTTTCCAACCGGCGTGAGCTCCGGGACTATTACATTACGAAAGAAATGAAGACTAGAACGATCTACCTCTGCGGACCCAAGTTTGCCATTGAGCAGGATTATCGGCGATTGTTAGAGGATCATGGCTTGAACCCGGGGATGACTCTGTCGACCTATACCTGGAAGGGGTTGACTAGAGGGGTTTACGCAGTCATGCCTACTGTGGAGGATGCGGCCCGAGCCGTCGCAAAGGTCGAAGGTGCACTCCTTTTTGACACCAAAGTCCTTGTTTGGCCCTATCCTGATGAAGGATTCTTGGACTCCAAAGTCTATCAGTTCGAGTGGGGCTGGTATGCTACGAGTGGGCCAGGCATCGAGAATATACGGTTGCGTGCACCTTTACTGTCCCCACCGGTCGATATATTTAGGCCGATTAAGGAGGGTGCGTTCTGCCTCCGTTGTGAAAGCAAATAAGCGTTGACTAATTTGGTTCAGCCCGCCAAGTAGTTGTGAAAAGTTGTCAGGGGTACTTTCGCGGCGTAAAAGCCAGGGACTTGCAAGTGGAAGTTTATAATCTGTTTCATTCTTTTGATGTGGAGTGCTTTGAGATGAACAAGCTGACATCGGGGGAATGGTTTATAGTTCTCAATTTCGTTGATGCTGAGCAAGCAGAGATTGCTCGAACGACGTACAGCACGTATACGTTACCGAGCGGTAATCGAATCAAGTGTGCATCTAACAGGGTGCCGAAGCGCTTTCTAAAAGATATGCCCTGGGAATCCAGTCGGAGTGAAGGGTGAGTCTCTTACCCGCACAGTTTTGGCCGCGATACTAATGGTGTCTTCACCAGGCGTGAGTCCCACTCCGAACGAGGTCTCGTCACGGGCAAAAACCTCGAGCATGTAAGCCATCATCCTTTTACTGTCGCCGCTCTTCAATACAGCGAAGTGGACATTGCTAACCCAAACAACAGCTGCAAGAGGATGTGTTTCGCAAGTGGTTGTTGGGCAAGAACGATCGAGGTCTCTGGGTTCCTGGGTATGTTCATGACAGTACAGCTGACTTATTCGTGACTAATGGCTGCAACAGGCACAAATATTAGACAAGAATTTATATGATCTCCACAAAGATAACACATCCCATCTAATCAACCTTATAAACAAGCTTAACACCCGAAACCTTCCCATCCTTCAAATCCTGCAACCCCTGCGGCACACCCTCCAGCCCACTCCTCACCTCAATCGGATGCGTCTTC